GGGGGGAGGCAGGAATACACCAAAATATTTCAAATTAATTATCTTTTCCTTAAAAAATCTCTTACATCTCTTACATATGCACATACAATGGATCTATCAGGCAGCGTACACTGTGTCTTTGTTGAATTTTTTCTCTTGAATGGTACTGGAGCAATTTGGGGAAACAACATCTTCACTATCAGAAGACAAATCAATATACTGTATTCCTCTTTGATTCTTGCAATACAATATACTTGCTTTCCTTTCATTATCTGGAGTGTCTGGAACATTAGAATCTTCTGTTTTTTTCAGTTATATCTGAATCAGGGCGTTTGCCCTGCTAACTTCCCCTTCAGCATTCTCCTCTTCAGCACTAAGAAAAACTGGTGAAGAAGGGCCGGGCTAGGAGGGCTGGGGGGTTGCTTCGGGAGCTTCCTCAATCTTACTCCTTTTCTCAAAGCGAAAACGGTCCAAATTGAAAAGATTCATTTTGGTGGAAACCACCACGCTGAGGGCAGGGGACTTTAAATGAACTATCGGGAGGCTCAGAGGTGGATGAGCTCGGACATCTCTTAAACGCTCACTCGCTACCTGGCCTCTTGGCTCTCTTTCTTCCTTCAGTACTTACTGCCTTGCAGCCTCGGTGCGATGTAACAAAGGTCAAAAAGAAAAAGCTATATTGTAGTATTTAAGTAGAAAAGTTGCATGATATAGAAATTGTAGGTCAAAAAGCCTTCTTCTATTCCTGCTCACATCAGCCACTACAGATCGTGAGATTGCCAGCTTGCCCAAGCAAACAAGCCCTAATGACCTGAAGTTATGCAACCAGCTTCACTATGTGCCCATCCACACTACACATTGCTTCATGGCATTGGGACCGGAGGTCAGAGCTGCAAAAATGGCCTCCATAACTTCAAAGCTCTCAGGCTTTCCCACCTCAGAGGGCAATGTGGAGAGAGAAGGTAGAAGCCATCACCTATTCCTGCCCCAATGTCAGCCCCAATCAGTTCTCTGGGCACAGAGAAATGGGAGAGTTCTCCTAGGTTATGGTTTCTTTGATGTCCAGTGGTCCAAGCTGTGTCCCAAGTACCAGACAGCCAGGAAAGATGGTATGAGTGGATTCCTCTCCCCCCTACCCAGGGGACAGGGCCCAGGGTGGTCTATTCTTCTGTGGCCCATCTGGGCAGCACTAGCTCTGGACAAGATGGGGTGAAACAAGCAATGGGGGCCCCATTGCCATGAATACAGTTCCTTCATTCAGAGAATGTTTATGAACCACCCACAAAGCCCCAAGCTCAGGGAAAATGCAGGTCCCAGGAGCTCCATTTGGGCAGTTCTTGTGATGGACAATATGTCCATGCCTCTGCTGATGGGCCTCAATACAGGGCATTTTAAGAGCTGCTGTCAGAAGGACATTGGCCAGACCACCCTGGGAGAAGCAGAGAAGAGAGCCCGATGGGAAATCCTACCTTAAGTATGAAGAGCAGGTGACAGTTTGGAGGCCCATGGGAGGGAAAGAGACTCTAACATGACACTTCACTGACTGGGATCCTCAAAAATGGCTCTTCCCAGGCCCAGGCTTAAGAGATGGTGCCTCAGGTCCTCAGCTGGGTGGCCCTCATAGAAAAGAGGCCAGTGCATTCATCTAGCCCAACTCCCTGGATTACCAGTTGTGTCTGTCCATGCTCAGAGCTGCTGACTCCCCTCTCACTCCAGCCCTTCTTCCCCTGCTTCTCCCCTGTCCAACACAGCACTGGAGTGTATGGGGGCCCTCCCCAGACACAGGCATATTTGCAGACACAGGTTCCTGGACTAGGGGGAGGCTACTACTACCTATCTCTGGGAACTTGCAGCAGTTCTACAGATTAGAGAGTGAGTGTGACAGGGCAGCTAATGTCTCAGGACAGTGTAGTAATTGTGGGCTGATAGCTAGGGTAGGCAGGAACTAGGATCAAAGGTCTAAGGACAGGATCAGGGTTGGAGATTTGTGCTGTAGCCTGACCTAGCAAGGTTAGCTCTTCCCAGAACACAGGCCACTCCCTACCACCTCCTCTGGAGTTGTGCAGAGGATCTTTCAAGCTTTCCAGAACTTGGAGAACCAGGCCCACATCTAAGCATTCCACCTAGGATGGACACAGAGAAGACAGGCAGACACAGCCCTGGAGCCTCCAATGACAAACTGATGAGCAGAAAGTCTTTCCTGCCTCAACTCAGTCTCTAGGACAAAATGGAGAGAGAAGAGAGCTTAACCTTGATGTGCATTTGTGGTTAAAGAGATGCATCCCCATTAGCTTCCTGAAGTGGCCAAGAGGACCGCAGACTGGGGGTACAGTCCCAATCATCCTCCAGATTTCTGAACCAGCACCGTCCTCTCTCAAGTATACAAAAGAAACAGATCCCAACCATTGCTGTCCCTTTACCCCACTCTTTTCCCCTCCTGAGCTGCTGCCCTTACAAAGTTCCTTTCCTGAGTCCATCTAGTCTCAAGTGCAAAGGGAGCACTAGCAATCAGTACACCCTCCTGGCCTTCCCTTTTCTCTACAGTAACCTTACCACACTGATGTCATCTGTGCTTTCCACTGACAGCACTGAGCTGGCCACAGAAGGGCTGCAGGGTCCAGAGGACAGCTGGCACTGTCCTAAGCCAAGCTTCCCCAGAGCATTTCCCAACCAGGAGTGTGTGTCTCTCCCATCTCATCCATGCTGCCAAGGTATCCACCCGGGAATTGGGTGCTGACTGTGCCTCTCTGTGCCCGCTGGAACGCAAATGCTCTGCTCTGTTTGGGGAATGAAGCCAAAGCTCTGCTGCAACACTGGGGAGCTCACGGATTTCTAAGAGAAATGGGACAAAGCCCAATAGCAAACCACAAAGGTCAGCATCTAAAGGGCACAGAGTGTAAACACACCATATCAAATGGGTAGGAGTTCAGGGAAGGGGAAGAGAGGCCCTTCCCAACAGAGGAGCCCCTAGGATTGGGTAGGCAAGAGAATGGCTTTGAGGGCCAGTGAGGTGGCAGTACTTCTCTCTCTCTCTCTCTCTCTCTCTCTCTCTCTCTCTCTCTCTCTCTCTCGGCGGGGGAGGGGGGAGTACCCAGGATTGAACTCAGGAGCACTGAATCACCGACTCACATCCCCAGCCCTATTTTATATTTTATTTAGAGACAGGGTCTCACTGAATTGCTTAGTGCCTCACTTTTACTGAGGCTGGCTTTGAACTACAATCCTTCTGCTCAGCCTCCCAAGCTGCTGAGATTACAGGTGTGTGCCCCTGGGTCCAACTAAAGCTTCTCTTTACATGCACTGTACTAGGTGTTCTGACAATCTAGTAACATTCACCCACAAAATACCCTTACTTTGCAAGACTCAGAAAAGGTTGCTGGGTGGGAAATGCTATGGCAGAAATGTTCTATCATCTGCCAGGTAGGTGCAGAGATTTAGAATATTTTTTTTCCCGATAGTTATTTCCAACAACAGAACAAACACGTTAAGCAGAGAGTCAGAAGGACACTTGGTGTGCCTCATGTCCCACCCCTTACCAGGGCCCCACTCCAGGCTGCAGACACCCTGAATACTGGACGAGGTACAGTCTGGAAGGCCCACTGGCCAGCTAGAGGCAACCTCCTTCTACTCCACGACCCCACTGCACCTTCCTCCCTTTCCCCAATCCTAGAGGGAAAAGAGGAAATCCCAGGCAAGCCCTCAGCTTTGTGCTTGGCATCCAAGGTTTAAGTGACTGTAATCCTGGTGGACTGCCAGGCTTCTCTCTGCTGCTCTCCCCCCAGGGCTTGGCTCCATCCTTTCAGAGCAATCCTTTTGTTTCCAATGGAAACTTTGGATTTGTAATGTCATCTGACCCAGATGTGCTCTTGGGAAATCCTTGATTTTCCCATGTTTTCCTTTCAAGTAGTGGCCTAGAGAGTCACCCACAGCTGAGGACCAGCAAGAGGGGGAGGAACCAAGTCCAAGAGCCCCACATGGAGCAGCACCAACCCCTTCTCAAATCTTCCAGCCTCAAGAACCTCACAGAGGCCCAAAGGAGGCTAGAGAACTGTCAGTCCCCAGAACATGCCAGACACCCAGCATTCTCATCTCTTAACATTCTTTTCACCAAACTTCTACTTTCAACAGACAAGTGCCCATGTCTTCTTCCTGATGCCCAACAGCTACCTGAGCCTTTGGGCCTTTTGGCCAAGCATCAAGTGCCCAATGACATAGCTTGGCCTTGGCTGAGACCACCCCCACACTGCTGACTCTGGTGTCAGGGGAGGGCCACCTGAGAAACAGAAACCCCAGAAAAGAGATAGGACCTGATGACAGCCAATTAGCTTCCTGCCAGGGCAGGCTGGTACCTGGAGCTGAAGCCAACGGCCAGGTAATCCCATTATCCCTTCGTGGTTTAGGACTATTAAGCGTGAAGAAGTCAAAGGCAAAGGCAAGACAGACCTAGGATTTGTTTGGTGGGAGAGTGTATCTGGATTCATCCAGGAGAGCAGGAACAGAGTCCCATTCAGGGGTGGGAGGACACTATGAACAGGTCACTGGGGAAGGATTGGGAGAAGGGTGTGAGATCAGCACAGGAGGTGAGAGGTGAGGGGTGAATTATCTCTCCCCGAGGTTGGAGCAGACATAGCACTTAGTAAAGAGTCCTGAGGATGGAGGATGCTCCTTCTCCAAAGGAGGGCAAGGGGGCCATGAGGATGGGCTTCACAGACTGCCGGCTACAGGGCGAGTCATTGACCAAGAGCATTCATGTGGGTCCAAACTTCTCAGGGATTCTCTCCCAGTCCAGACAGAATCAGCTAGAATAATGAAGTTGGACAAGCCTGTCCCCGGGAGACATAGGACCTCCCTGGTGGCCTATTTTGTTTCCCTAAAGGTCTCACAAACCCTTTCTTAGGCTGTACTGCAATTTATCCAATCTCCCCTCCCTGCCACCCCCATCTAGCTCTCTAAGGGTCAGACACACATCATGCCTGACAGCCCTGGGTCTAACTGGGCCCCCTCCCTCTGTTCTCTCACAGTGTTTCCCTCACTGAAAGCCATGCCACTTGTCCACTCTCAGGTCTGCTTCTCAGAGGACTCAGCTTCACACAGATCTCCACCAGGCCTCTGGAATGATGAATTCCTTTGAGCCTACAGTGTTACTCAGAGGAAATGGGTAAGTAACAGGAAAGAGCTGGGGAGAGAAATGGTTCCAGGACAGGGACTCTTTGTGTTTGCTTTTCCTTCAGAAAAGAGCAGCCCTTCTGTACTGAGACAGGGTGATGTTTCTGCTGCCACCTCGTGGCCATTTCAGGTAAAGCATTTTAGTGGCCTCTGCTGTGCTGTGATAGAGCTGGAGAGGGAAGAAGTCGAGAATTTGCTCTGGTGTTTGGGGTCCTCTCTCCCCTGTGTATAGAAGACGTTGGAGGAATCCTAACTTCTCCGAATGTGTGTTCTTCCATAAAGCCCTGTAGTTTTCCTCACTTCCTGCCCTTGCTCACGCTGCCTTCCCTGGATGCAGAGAGGAAGTCAATATCTTGACCATGACAATCCCGATTCTGAAGCCTATCACCAGCAGTTGTCTCTCTGATCCTGGGTTTCTTCACCTGTAAAAAAAGATAATAATAATAATTTAAAAACCCATCCCAGAAGATTCCGTGAAAATTAACTAATCTCTTATACTATAAAATGCCTGACTTCTGCATGGTTAACAAATGGTAGTTAATTCTTTATTTCTCTCTTCATACATTATCCATTCTTCAAAGTCCACCTCAATGGCCATTTCCTTCCAAATTTCCTTCCTGTCCCAATTACTCGCCTTCCTCTGCACCACTCTGAGCCTCTGTCCCTCAAGCTGCTGTTGTCACACATTCCACCCATACTCCTCCCAGCTGGGATCTCCATGCAAGTGGCCATCAGTATAGTGTCTTGTTGCAAAGAGGTAATAGGCAAACCTGCCACAGGTCTGGCTTCTATATCAAGAATAGACTGTCATTGTGGGGTGCAGTGGCACACACCTATAATATCTGTGACTCAGTGAGGAGGATTGCAAGTTGGAGGTCAGCCTGGGCAACTAAGCAAGACCCTAACTCAGAAAATAAAAAAAAGGATGGGGATGCAGTTTTGTGGTAGAGTGCCTCTGGTTTCTATCCCCAATAACAATAAATAAACAATTAAAAATTTTAAAAATCCACTATTGTGATTCCTGCTGAAGTGGAGAGCTGGTGCTGTGAAGATCAGCAGCCAAGACTTTCTCTGAGTCTGGGATCAAAATGAGCAACAAATCTCCTAGTACTGACTACTATCTTTCCAAAAATAATTGTTTTCCTGAATATGACAGCACTCGTGATCATTGCAGGAAAAAAAACAAAGATAAAAATCACCTATAGGACTAGGGCTGTAACTCAGTGGCAGAGCACTTGCTTAACACGTGTGAGGCACTGGGTTCAAACCTTAGCATAAAAATAAACAAATAAAATAAAGGCATGCTGCCCATCTACATCTACAAAAAAAATAAAAGAAAAGAAAAATCATCTGTAATTATACCATCCAGAAATAACCCCTGATAATTTCTAATTCATTTTACTCTGTGCATCAAAGTAAGTATAACATACATTTAAAATTGCTATATTATAGGCGTGTATTCCAGATTTTTCACACAACATGTGAAGAAGAGTTTCTCTTGACATTAAATATAGTTAAATGTTAATTTCTGCATGATTGTTCTGATGTGAAGTATCATAATTTATGGAACTTTTTTCTAATGTTGAAACTTTAGGATCTTTTTTTTTCTGTTTTAAAAAACTGTTATCAATGATGCTGATGGGAATATCAGAATAGATTCTTAGACTGGGATTATGGGTTCGAGGAAATGAAGGAAAGGAGCTCTTGCTTCTGAATTCACATTCAGGAAATTGTTGATTGCTGAGTAGTTTCACCAGCTTCCCACTCAGCTATTCTAATATAAGGTGTTCAGCAATGGTGCAGTTCCCTGACCTTTTTTCCCCAGAGAAAACAGTCACCTCAGAGTGCATGTCAGTCAGTGTTTGGTACGGAGGAGAGATGGGCACTGGGCATCTAGGAAGACTCACTGACAGTCACGACTCATTCCAGTCCAAGCAGGAAGTTCACCTCCTTCCTAATGTCTGGACCTAGGACAAGAGATTCATGCAGCTGACTCAGGTACAACAGTGGGGTTTCAAACCAGTCTTAGAGCTGCGCACTTAGAAGGGGCACACTGTGTTATCCAATGGCTCAGTCCAACTCTGGGTTTTCTGGGAGCAAGATCTCCTTATAGAAACACTCCAGACTGCCAGGCACGGTAGCGCATGCCTGTAATCCCAGTGGCTCAGGAAGCTGAGACAGGAGGATTGTGAGTTCAAAGCCAGTCTCAGCAATGGCAAGAGACCTGAGGTAGAGAGAAAGCAGACCAATCCCAGTATCTTTTGTATTGCCATTTTGTGCTCTTGACTGCAGTTCTAGGCCCAGTATTAGAGTTCTAGGCTGGGTCCAGATACCCACTCCACCCACCACCTCCATAAGGAGTCCCAGGTGATATTGTCCTTGCCCCTTAACTCTCTCATCCATTCTTTCCAGCAGGACACAGACTTCTCCTAAATTGAATCCAATACCCCAAAAACACCCTTATATGGGTGTGCCTCATCCATGAACCATGGAGGGCAAACCTCAGAAAAGAATCCAATAATCTGGATTATTAGATTAATCCAATAACCTCTTCAGTCCTTTTTCAATCCCCATCAGGGGTCAAAGAATCTGTCCCCTAAGATCCAAGGCAGGGGCTTCTCCTGCCATTATTCTTTCCTGTGGCTATGAGGGTGGGTAAGGAAGGGAAATGCCCTTCACCACTCACTAGGGGACAGACAGTTCAAGAGGAGACCTTGAAGAGCCCATTGGCTGAGCCTGGTAGGGAGGCAGCACCTCTCAGTCTCCATCCCCGGCTTTGGTCCCCACCCCGATCCATGTCGGCCCTTTGAGGTGCTTTTAGTGGAAATCAGCTCCAACCTCCAGTGGAGTCTGGCAGCTTCCCTCTTCCCTCAGCTCCTCTTACTACCCTTTCATCATCTCTTCCACTGGGACTCAGGACATCCCTCCCCAGGCACCATCTGCTCCCCCAGCACTCACCTCTGTCACCCATCCCACTTCTGCTCTACCTGAACATCACCTTCCCCTTCCCCTCTTTCTCCTCTTTAAACCCTGACTCCAATTTCCCTCAAAGCCCCTTTCTTTTGTGCCCTGAGACTGAGAGAGAGAGAGAGAGAGAGAGAGAGAGAGAGAGAGAGAATCCCTGACAGGATTGATGGTCAGCCCCACGCTCTGTCCTTCCTTGCTCCCTCCCCTAGCCAGTCACAGACTCCCTCCCAAGGCAGGAGGCAGAGGCTGGGTGAAAGCAGTTGCTCTCAAAATCCCTTTACCAGGCCTCTGTGGGGTAGGCCAGGCTGTGCCTTTGTCCCCCATTTCTCCAGGAGAGAGTGGGCACCTGGAGTGCCAGGATCCCACCTCCATCCGCATGAATGCCATGGAAAGTCCCGAAGGGCAGGAGATGCAGAAGCTGGGGAACAGAGCTTGGGACAACCCTGCTTACAGTGGTTCCCCTTCTCCACATGGGACGCTGAGGATCTGCACCATCTCCAGTGTGGGGCTCCCACGGGCACAACCCAAGAAGCCTGAAGATGGACCCCAGGAGAAGATACAAGGGACCCTGGTGTCCAGCTGCTGCCTCCATATCTGTCACAGCATCAGAGGTACTGGGTGTGGGGAGGGCTTCTCTGGGGTATTGGAGCCAGAAATTTTGAGGAGTGAAAAGGTACTGAAGAAGAGGTGAATTCTCAGTGTCCCTTTGTAACTTGCCTGTGTTGGAGCCTGGCCCCAGGACACACAGGCCAGTCTTATGGTCTGCCAGGGGGGCACCTGGCACAGTCATTCCTCTGGGGGCCCATTGGGGTGCATGGGAATCAGGTTGAGGGAGGACACAGCTGGGATGAGGCCCTAGACCTCCCCACCTGGAACAGGTGCCTAACTTTCATGACTTGGCTCTCTGCAACTCTGAGCCCTCACCCATCTGCTTCAGGGAGATTGGAACAGGGCTGGCCTGGTGTGGGAAGAGGAACCAATTCTGTCAGGGGACAAGGGATGGGTAAGGAGATGGGGTGAAGTCCAAGGACAGGTGGGAGGGGTACTGGGGGGAAACATGTTGGCATCCCTCCAATACTCTTAGGACTCTGGGGAACAACCCTGACTGAGAACACAGCGGAGAACCGAGAACTGTATGTCAAGACCACCCTGCGAGAGCTTCTGGTGTACACGGTGTTCCTGCTGGACATCTGTCTGTGTAAGTAGCATCTGCCTCCGTGGACGTCTCAGTGGGCGGTATGTGCAACATCTGCATGCACATGTGTGTGGGTGATGCCTGTAGGGCCGTGTCCACCTGTGTGAGCAGACTGCACCCTGGGAGCTATGTATATCAACATTCAGCTCCTGTTTACTGCCTTTTCAGCCTAAGGCATTTCTTTGACAAAGAACTTGTCACTGCAATCAGTGAAAGAAGGTGGGTTCACGAAAGTGGTTTTGTACAGAATAACAAGGGGAACCCAGGTTTTAAGTGCAAATTCCTGACACTGACTCAGCAGCCACTGTTTTCTGCTGGAAGGTGGAAGTTTTTTCCTTTCTGGAAAGAATGGAAGATCACTCCTTTCTGTTTGTGGTTTTCATGTGGTTAGTTACTGTGCTACATTTGGTCCATGACTCTTTAGGGGCAGGAAGAAGACAATTGTGGAGCCTTCGAGCTCAGATCCCTGAGAAGAGAGTGAGGATGGAGGGTGTGGTGGAGTCCCAGGGGAGAGCCTATCACCCACAGGCAGCTGGGGCAGCTTCTATGAAGCTCTAGCTGTGCACCCAAGCTGGGGAGGTTTGGTGTCTAAGCTCAGAGAAGCAAGTGGAAAGATCACAGGGAAGCCTATGACAGATAAACTCAAAGGACTGTAGGTGATAATGAAGTTGAGCCATGCAGAGGCTCCTAGGCTGTACAGATGAGGGCAAAACCTTTATATTCAGTTCCTTCCTTCCTTTAAGAGGGGTTTTACCTGCTTGCTGGTGATGCCTATATAGTTGTATGTGTGTGTGTGTGTGTGTGTGTGTGTGTGTGTGGTGACTGACGCTCAACCCAGCTGTGGTGCCTCCTTACTTACTCATCCTCAGCAGGCTCTGTGATTTGAGGGTGCACAAATCCTTGGAAAGTGAGATGTAAAGTTCTCATAACAGAGGTGTTGATAGGAAATGTCATCATCTCTGTGAATCATCCCCACTGTGTGGGACCCCTGGGGGCTGGACAGATGTACTTGCTTCTGCTGTGTGCTGTGGGGACTCACTGTGCTGGGCAGAGGGGTCTGCTCTGGGGGCTTTCCTCCTATACACAGCACAGTGCAGAGGAGACTGTGTAGGGACAGTGGTCAGACCAGGATTCACATTGTGGGGCCATTGGATTCCTTTCAGAACATGACTGTCAGAGACTCGTTTGTTGATGTACTGATTTTCCATTCTAACCATCTGCTAGGAATGAGGGTCCTCTCCTTCCTCACATCCCATGACTGCAGCTGAAATACACAAACAGCCTTTTTCTGCAGGTGATCAAGACATCTAGGTGGAAGCTAGAGTCCTGAAGCCCAGAAGTCCCATCATCCTATGGTCTCCTCTTCCTAAAAGCTCAATGCACTTGTGAGTGCCAGATGGTCTGTGACTTGCCAAAGTTTAAATCAAAGACTCAGTCTAATAACTATAGAATCTTTGAATGAGGGTATAGAATAAGCAGAGAACTCTTTCCCTATTACCCCTCCTGCGTGGCTTTGCTGATGTCCAAGCGGGCACAGCCTGGGGAGTGTCCATGGGGATTTCACAGTCTCACAGGGAACCCACTTTGCTGTGGGCAGCTCTCTTTCTTTCCATTTATGGAGCTCCTTCTGCTGTGCCAGACATTGAACTGAGGGACAGAGATGACTGATACTTGCGCCTTTACCCAGAGGGCTTCACCTTCTCCTTTTTAGGATTTTCTTCAATCGAGCCATCTACTTTCCATTTATTTTCTGATGGAATAGCCTTTCAACCGTTGGAATGAACATAGTGACCATATTTCTCCTTAGTCATCTGTTCCCCAGCTTAAATAATGTCTGTTTTCTCAAGAAAGCAGTCATCATAACATGGTGTTCAGGGTGGTATTATGTGGAGATTGAAGGTGTAGGCTCTGAATCTGCACAGATTTGGCTTCAAACACCACACTCTGCCATTTACCATTTGAGAAAACTTGAGCAAGTTGTCTAATTTCTTTGATTGTCAATTTCCTCACCAGTAATTACTTGATCCAATATGATTGTGTGAGTATTATGTGGGCTACCCTCCCTGAAGGCTGAGACTCAGTGCCTGACATATATTAAAACCCATTTCAGAGTGTTCACCATGCTGGTTTTCCTGTCCCCAGACTTGATCAATTTGATGCCCATTATTGGACAAAATACTCCTTGGGCAATCTGACAGCTAAAACCTGGGATGCTATTACTTCTGGTGGATCAAAAAGTGAACATTCAAAGAAGTGAACATTCAAGCTGAGAATTGAGAAAGAGGATTTAGCCTCTTGAAAGGAAAATGAAGAGATAAGAAGTTTCTAGGAAGAGAGGTTGTGCCCAGCAGGGATAGAGGGCACAGTTTAGTGAAGGTGCATCATTGTGGCTGGAGCAGAGATGGGGAGGAGCAGAGAGGTGAAGAGATCAAGGCTGCTGTGTAAGCAAGGAAGGCCAGCAAGGGCCTGTTTGGGCATGTCATGGAAGGGACACTGAAGGGGCCACTGAAGGAGCCACTGAAGGGTTCAAAGCATAGGAGTGACATGATACATTTGAGTTCTCCTAATTCTGGAGGGAGAAGAAAGTCCTGGGCACAGAGGTGTCTCTGGGAAATTTGAGCAGGAAAGGTGATGGTCCTGTGCTGAGCACATCGGCCGGTATATTTTATTTAACCCTCACAGCATTCTTACCAGGGTCACTGAGTCAGTTTAGTTGATTTAGCGTGCTGGTTAAGCACTGGAGCTCTTAGTCAGACTGTCTGGGTTCAAGGCCTGGCACTTTCAAGTGTGATCTGAGCAAGTTTGCTAATTTCTCTTAGCCTTGGGTAGTGATCACGTCCACCTGATAAGATGGCTGTGATGGTGGAATGAAATAGCCCCCCAATATTGTGCTAAGAATTTAGCATGTCTGTCTGTCTCTCTGGCACATGGTAAGTGAGGTCTACTGTGCAGACTATAAATCTGTACTGCAGCATCATGAACCCAGGGAGCAATGGAGGTTAAAGGAAGGAGAAATAACCTGATACCTTTAAATCTCTGAAAACCTTCAGCTTCTCTGGAGTTGGGATCTTAGTACTCCTTGAAGTCATTTCATTCATTATATGACCTGAAGATGTGCCATTGAACTGCCTTTGACCTTGAGAATTAAAGTCTTCACCCTCAAAATACCAGACTCCTCAAGAATGCTGTGAAACTTGGAAAACTTCATATTCTGAGGGTTCTTCCAACAAATAGTAAAATAATATTCCTGCTAATTCCATCCTTTCCCTGACTCTTCCTTCTTTCAGGTAAATTTTTGGGCATTATGGACCTTGATTATGGTCTCAATAAGTCTATTTTCGCACTCTCCAATATGCTGGCCTCAACATCCTAGCGTCTGCGCCCTGTTCTGTTAGCCTCCCTGAACTCTGCCATCTGCAATTAGGTGATACATTCTCAATGGGGATCAAAGTTACTTAGTTGTATTATGTCACACACCTTCATTTAGAAATCCATCTTAAATATGTTCTCATGTTTCTGAGTATTTTATAAATTTTCATTTTAATGATTATAGTTATACTGCAATTAAATAAAACATTTACATTATTATTTCAATATCTGCCTTTTATGGGTATACACACACACATACATACATACACACACACAATTCTTTTTTTCACTTTTGTTGATTGTTTCCTTGGGAACTTCCAAAGAGTCATAATATTAGACCAATAGATAGGATTGTTTCCACTACTGCTATAAGATCACATCAATTTAATCTTAACCTCATGAAAATTGGATTCTCTCATTCATACCTTTTAGTATTAAATAGGTATAAAATGGTACAATTGCCTTAATTTTCTTGGGTTTGATTACTAATGAGGGTGGATAGTTTCTTTATGTTTTAGAGTATAACACTTATTTTGTGTAAATTGCATAAGACACTCTTTAAGAAGGAAAAGGAGAAGGGAGGGATCATGGAGAAGCTGGACCTCCAGACCCTGGGTAGGGAACCAAGCACCAGGGCTCTGATTTCCAGCACCTGGTTCCTGGGAGCTAAAAGAAAAAAACAACACATTTGCACATCACCTGGACAGCAATCTGGCCTGGGATGGGCCCTAGGAGCGTAGCTCAGACAGCTGTACTGACCACATCTCTTCCCCACTATGCTTTATCCCAGGAACTTAGTGGCTATTCGGAGGCTGTTCTGGCTGAACAGAGCTATCTTTTTTATGCAGGCAATGTGGGGGAACCATCAATCTTCTCACCATAACAATATCAGCTGTGCAGTCCTTGAAGCCTCACAAAGAGCTTTCACACCTAGGATCTCATTGCACCCTGACAGCAATCCTGTAAGGGACAGATGTTATTATTTCTATTCTGAAGATAAGGAAAATGACATTACAAATACAGTTCCTGAGTGGTGGAGTCCATCCTGTCCCAGGTATTGCTCAGCAGGGAAAGTGCTAGAGAATGAAGGATCTTCCTGCCTGTCTCTCCTGCCTGCCCCAACACCACCACCATGATATGTAAGGGTTTCCAGCCCTTTCTTTGTCTTTTCTGAAAGAAGAATGGCTATGACCTTTTGCTGAGGAAGGAGACACTGAAGGTCTTTGTGTAGAAACAATGGCTGCTTGTTTTAGGAGACATGTTGTTATCTCAAAGGTACACCTGGGACTGGCCCTGTGTAAGAGATGCTCTGAGCCAGAACAAGACTGGGTCTGATTACCATGGAGTGGGGAAGAGGGCAGAAACCTTTGGCCTTTGATGACTCATGTCTGCCCAACAACTAATGTTGACTAGATACTTTTTACCCATTGCTGGCTGTGAAGAAAAGCCTACCTTGATTAGCTCTGCTTCCTTTCAGTGGGTTTCAAGGTTCTATCCATAGTTTGGTAGAATCATTCATTATTTGGAGAGGATGAAGTGATCTTGGAGATTGGAATATAATTGTCTTTCTTCCCCCATTATCCCCCCACTTCAAATCTAGGGATTGCATATACTAGGCAAGTGCTGTACCACTG